CTTTTTCAGAATGAACTTTCTTTAAAAACTCTTAATACATCATTCACTGCAATGACTGTGATAGTGATCGAGACAACATAATAAAAAATGTAACAGTTGGAAATCATCCACTGGTGTCAGACCTTTTGTGCAAATAATCATGGCCAGTGTGTGGAAATGTATATTTGAAATACAGTCCATATATGCCATGAACTTGTTTTTCTGTGTTTGAGAGCAGCATAAGAAAAAGATATCACCCAGTTCTTCCTTGTGTTCCAGTTTATCCTGCAGCTAATAACACAGGCCACTGACGGCACATCCAACGAAAGGCAACTTTCAGGCACATGTTGGCAACAGTGGAACCGTTGAAGTGCCAGTATGGAAGATGAGGAATCAGAGAACTGTTCTACAGCAGTGAATCCAGATCCAGCTGTGGCAGAGGCTCCCGCCAGTAGGAGAAGCTGCTGAACTCGGGATAGTCGAAGGAATAGGACGTGCTGCACGGAGCTGAGCAATCAGGGAAGAAGTGTTCCACGATTTCACTAAGGTGACTGTACCTGTGGAATACAGACATATGCTGTAAACACACAACTGTAGTCCAATTATCTGGAAGGAGAAATAAGTGATACAAATGTAACATTTGTAACAAGCGGAAATATTTTTTAAGAATTGGCCTTATTTAAATGTTGTTGCTAACACTGCACCTTCACTGGATAATTATCCTAATTTAAATAAATCCTGTTAATAATAAACATTGATAAAGCTTAGTAGGAGCCACATTTCTTCTTTTCTTGTCTACTTTGGTACACACTTACGAGGACTTGTTTACTTTGGTCTTCTCCTGGATGAGCTCTCCTTTAGGGTTGACAGTGAATATCCTGTTTTCAGGAACTCCAACCTGTCTATAGGCGTAGGCATCCTGCACAGAGGGACAAACAACAAAATGTCAACCATCTCTGCCACAGTACGACAGTGTGAGAGGCCAGAAACCACAGCAACACGATTAATGCCACGCATTAAACCACAGCAACACGATTAATGCCACGGACGCATAAAGGAAAACTGAAATAGCTGACCTCTGACCTCTTCTGAATTAATCATTTTTCCGTACCAATGTTCAAAAATAAAATAGTAAAAGATGTCACACAACATGGAGAAAAAACTTCAGTAGAACTGTTGTCATCCACTCACATTTGTCCTGTTACCAAAGGCAGCGTAGAAGGGCTGTTTCTGTGGACTGAACAGATCTCTGATGTCACTGAGGCAGGCGATCTTGAACACCTCTGGCTTCTTCTCAATCACTTCTCTGTACGCAAAAGAGAAACAGATTAAAATATTTTATATATAAAATATTATATTACGTCTGGACATTACTGTACTTCTTGGAAGTACAAGGTGATGGTACAACTACACTTAAACATGTACATGCACCAATTTAAATATAGTTACGTTAATAATAAGCTGCTTTATCGTCTATCAAAAAGGCCTTAGAAATGCCCAGTAGGGGTCAGTGTCGCCAAGCTGGAAAAAAGAAGAGCAGCTGCGCAGTACTGACTATAAAATGCTTCAGACAAGATGAAGAGTTCGTGCAAACTCGACCAAGACCATCAGATACCATTAGTGACTCGAACAGGTGAAGTTTTTACTGTAAGGCAGGCCAACCATTTTCCACTGTGACGCCACATTAAATCAAGGACCAAACTTGTTTTATTTCTTCTATCTTATATAAATACACTTTACATTGGCCCTTAAGTTGGACATTTTATGGTGAATTTAAATTAACTAAATTCTGCTTGCTCAACACCCTGGAGCTGTGATTCAAACTAGCACTCTTCCAATTGCACGGCTGATCCTTTAGTTAGTCTTTATCTGTGTTGAGGTACTACTGCGTACCTGTGCAGGGCTGAGAAGAGGCTGCTAGGAGCCAGCAGCACGGGGCCTTTAGGAAGGACGGTGCCTCCATCATTGACCCACTGCAGGTAATCCTTGGTAATGGCAGCCATACCTATGGCACGGGCCGAGCAATAGAGGAATTTGTAGCCATTTCTGCAACACAATAGCCAGACCAGGTTGAATGTTTTCTTCTCCTCGGCTACCACTGCCTTTTCATGTAAACAGTTTAAATAATTCCATTCACTTTAAACTTTGTAATTTTATTATAATTATTTTACATACTGGTGGATTTTGTGGTAGAGTTTGGCAATGCCTTTGTGTGTCCAGTCCTTTCCAAACTGAGGGAGAATATGTCCCAGAGCATCAGATCTGAAATACACAGATATTTTTAATTAAAAATTGATCTGAGAAATGAAAAATAAAAGCTGCACAAAAATCAGTTATTTCACTTTGTGATGGTTCCGTCAATGTCTGATATGATGACACGGTCGTCCCAGTTCCACAGGTAGATGGCAGCCTCGCAGCGACAGGTGCCTTGGTACTGAGTGGTCACACTGAACACCACCTTGTTGGCTCCGTCTCGCAGCTTCAGCTGCTCCTGAAGTGGGAAAAGTAAAAAATACATACAAGGATGAACACAGGCGCAGTGGAAGATAAGTTATTGAACTCACCTCCTGTCCTGTCCCTTCTTGTGTATAACTGTTTATATTTTAACCTAAAAATAGTGTTGACCGCATGTTTAAAAACAGAGAACTCAAAATTTACTTCAAAAGCTAGAGAGCAGTGATTCTAAAGATGTGGTACATGTTCTACTAGTGGCGCTTTGCCTCCCTCTAGTGGTAGGCAGAGGTATCCTGTGATCAGTTGTCTTTTTAAGAAGTTTATCTTTTTGACCTGTATATTGTGGGATTGTTTGAACAAATTTGATGCAGTTTTAATTTTTTTTCATGAATTCTTTTCGGAGAGAATTACAGGAAACATCTCTTACTATCTGTTTTGATGTCAGACGCAGTGATTTGCGATACATCTGGCTGATGCACTGTGCAGTGCTGAGAGTGTCATCCAGCGTTGCTCTGGAAACAATGTTAGAAAATTCCATTTAGAACTTGTTACTTTGTAGCTGTGTTCAAGGATGATTTCTAAATGTATGATTCTCTGATTTACAGCAACTGTGCTTCACTTCCAATTAGTCAATTAGTCTTTTGTATGAGGACACTCACTTCACTGCGGAGGAAACACTGGCCATCTGCTCGTCCTGTTCGTCCTTTGAGTGTTTTTGCTGAAATTTAATAATTTCCTCTGTCAGCAACAACAGAATCTTTTCTCAAAACGTTCTTTTGTTTAAAATAAATATATGGCCATGTCTATAACATGAATCTAGAATATTGTTATCTTCATTATCATCATTATCTTCATGTGAGGGTACTAACAACCATGTCTCTTCTCCTCCAGGAGAACCACCAGCGTCCAGACTTTTTGGGCATCTTGTCCTTCATCAGACGCTCAATGGAACTCTGACACAGACACAGGTAAAAAAAAGAACTTAAAGATGCACAGAAGATAATTATGGTCAGGTTATATACATAAAAAAAACGTAAATACCTTTGGTAGATTTTTTTGAAAAGCAGTCATAGACAGGATCATTGGAGCAGCTGCTGCCCAGTTGTAGTAGCTGTGACAAATGAATGCATGCTGTTAATCTGTTAAACAGTTCAGAGAAAAGTTGTTTCTTGTGTCAGCATTTTGTTTTATCTTAATTCTTACTTGGAGTTGATGCAGACAACCAGACTTGGATCCTCAATGATTCCTGGGTTACTGGCGAATTCCCCATAAGTCACAATGTTCTCCATAAATTTCTCTGTAGTCAGAATAAACATTGACAAAACAAGTGATTTCACTGCTCATTCCCTCAAGTAGGAACAGTTCTGTCAAACTGAGGTGGACCCACTGACCTTTGGTGATTTGGCTGGTGTCTCCTTCCATCCCACAGAGGGACATGCTGACGTCCATGCTGTAGGAGGTGGACGTGGAGTCAGACAGGTACTCTGTGCCACTGTCTAATGCCACGCTGCCCAGGGAATGAGGCGACTGACTTCTGGAGCCTGATCCTTGTTGTGACGCTCCCTCTGTCTCACTGCAGGGACAAAGAAACACGTTTCATTTTAGCTTTAGCTGTATGGTCAAATATTGAAAATTAAACAGAAACTAAAGTACTAAAGAAACTAAAGAAGTTAATAAGTTACCAGTCTCTAATTCAATGAGCCACTTAGCTGCACCTCTATCACCTCCAGCGTGTCCCTCTATCAAGGTTTACCAAGTTGGTACTAGCACTGTGATTAGCAACCAAACCTGGGGCTTGGGGACTGAATTATTTTTTATAACCAATTTACTATGTTTACTTAATTTTCTCTTTGTGAAAATTAAATTGAATGCATGAAATATTTTTTTCTAAATAATACGTTTTGCCCATTAGTGTTAAAATATTGCTTCTCACCTCTTTGGAAAATAGAGTGCAGCTACTTCAGGGTTCAGTGAGTGAAGATCGTCCAAGTAAATATCCGTTGGTCCCAGGTGGAAGTTGCGTTTCCCTAAAACAAAAGTACACAAAGATGGACTGGCATCAAAACGCATGTTTATTTTGTCTATAATGGACACCTTTCTGGAATGAAGGCAGGAATGACCTTTCTTCCTGCCCTGCTGCTCTCTTTTGGTGGACGTCTCAGCAGAGTCTGCCGACCCGTCCGCGGCACTCCTCTCATCCACTGTGTTTCTGCCTTCAACTTTGGCCGTGGTCGCAGTGGAGACTGAGGCTCGGTCCATGAACGCAGATCCATTGTCCTCCTCTCCTGCGTCAACGTAGGGGTATATGCCACTGTCCCCCTCACTGATGAGGGCTGCGCTGCTCCATCTCAGGTCACTCTGTGCTGATGTAGTGCCCTGATGATGTGCTGGACACACTGGACTCGGTGTGTTTCTTGTTGGGCTTCTATCTACCTTCTGTTGGTTCTCTGGTTTGGTCACTGTAACTGCACTAAATGAACTAACAGCAGTGACTCGATCAACAGTACCTTCTCTACTACTCGTGTATCCAGTACCATTAATCAGACATGTAGAGTAAACTGATGAGCGTGTGTTGTCCTCTTTTCCTGACGTGGATTTCATCACGACCGTGTCGGTCTTCAGTGACAATGCACAAAAGGATGAGGAAGATTCAGGTCCAGGTTGGGCCACGTTGGATAAATGCGTGGTCTGCAAGCCATGTGTAATCTGGTCCACCGAGTGAGTCCTGGGTTGTGGCCTGACGACGGCGACGCTGCCCATTCTGCCACAGCTGATCGCAGAATCCGCGCCCATGTCAAAGGAATCCTGTCTCTCTATGGTGCGGAAATGAGTTTTTCCAGGAGGGGACATGTGTTGAAGCTCCAACGTCCTCTCTGACTGACACAGCTGTGAGGGGTTCAAACAGAGACAATGACAATTTTTAGCCTTCACCCAAAAAATAAGAGAATGTTTTTTATATTGTGTGTTGTCTGATTGTACCGTGGGAAAACCTCCCCAGTTCCACTGTATCTGAGGCTCTTCACATTTGAGCAGAAGCTCAGAGTCGCTCTTTGGAGAAGTCGGTCGACTATTAAATACATTACTGAGGAAGGCAGAGAAAAACATGTGTTGTCGTAAAGACACGGCACAGAATAACTTCCTCAGCAGGTCAGTCTGTGAAACAAACCAGTAACTCCAGCACAAAAACATGAACCTGCCTCACCTTTCTATGGGGGAGTGCTCTCCATCTGAGTAAGGGTGAGTGTCTCTGCTGCGTGTGACACCCACTTCCACACTCGGCTCCTCAGAGATTGAGTAGTACACTGATTTACTGTCATAAAAACAAATCAGAACAGTGCTGTTAAAAATACAGTAGTGTTCTTCATCGTTTGATTAAAGCAGAAATCGATATTAACCATATAAATTAACATGAAAGTAGCATAATACGTAAAGTTTGTTTCATTTTATGTAAATGAAACACTGACAAGTATTAGGTTTATTTAAAAATGAACTATGTCACTGCATGTACATCTGTAAAACTCTTTACATGATAGATCAATAGACTCAATATAAAACCATGGTTCAATTCTTGTATGTTAATAATTGTGATGGGAGACTTTGGTAACTTGCAGTAACAGTAACATTTAAAGGATATTCCACTTGTTTGTCATTGAACTGCAACCAGCACCGTTTGTCCGAAAAACAACAGACTAACAAGAAGCTGAACTTTGAATTCTGCCTCTGCTTACCAAACTTGTAACGAAGGGACGTGATCTTCTAGGAGAGGACTGTCTGCTCCAGCCTGATCGTTTTCTCTTTCCCACTCCTTCTCTCTCTCCCTTTCATCTGATGAAGAGTTGTCTTCAATGGGGTGAGTGTCCGACCGTATGCGTTTGCGACGCCGTTTCTTTCTGCGTCCACTGGATCCGGCAACGGCGGATCCCTCGTGGATCTCATATATGTGTTCAGGACCCTCGAAAGGAATTGGGGAGGTGCACAAATGTGCTGGGACCAGAGACTGGAAAAAAGGAATAGTTCATGTTGGGAATATTCTAATTATTAGACGCAGACTTTTCCCCTGATGGCCTCACCTCCATATTCTCTTCCACAAAAAAAGCCTCTCCATTGTCGCCCAGCTTCATGTGCAGGTCTATTGATTCCCCATTTATTTCAATATCCACCTGGAAACACAACGATACAAAAGTAGATGAAGAAATCAGTAGGATAGAAATATCGTAAACTATTTAAAAGTAGAAAAAAAAAGCCGTACTATTTTCTCCTTTGAACGCAGCACACCGAGCTTTCCGAAACGGACATGAAATGGTGAGCACTGGAAGGATCCATCTGCCTGTCGGACCACGATCACATCGATGCCTCCAGTGAGAGTGGCGGGGTTCAGGCCGCGGTACAATTCCTTCACCGTCACAAACACAGTCTCTGCTAACTGGCCCACGATATTCATGGTTACAGACTGGGAAAATGTAAAGAAAAAATAAAGTGAGGTTCGTGGAGGAACAGAGTGTTTTTTTGCTGACTGCTGGTTAATTCTTTACTGCTCTCTCCACTCCATCATCCATTAAACTTTACTTCAAGTAAATAGAAAATCCTAGGAATTGGCACTAAGTTTACACTCTCTACAGTAGGTAGGAGATTGCTAAGACTTGTGTTTTATGACTGGGTTCCAGTGAACCAACTGTTGATTATAATAGATTTTACAGATCTTGCTGTGGCTTCAACTGTGGTGTTGTGTAGCATGGTCCACATGTCCCATTGTTTTGACAACGTGTTTGCAGTCTGATCTTTACAAATAAAGGACTGAAGGTCAGCAGCAGGGAGGGACGGTGAGACTGAATAGTCAGCACACAAGCTGAAACAAGTGGAGCAGAAAAACTGAACGGTCATGATGATTATGTATAACAGCAGTGAACTTTTTCTTCTTTGGCCCACCAGACAGCTCCCTGTCTATGCTGTCAAAAGTTTGACACTGAAGACGATGTGAGTGCTCAAAGATAGGTTTATGACTTTCCCTGCTGCAGGTCACAGCGTGGTTCAGAACAAAGAGCTTCAAGAAAAAAAACATTGACTCATATTTGACCTATTTTCTACCCACATCAACAAGACCGAGCCAACTTGTCTCATGTTTACAAAACCACATGTTCTGTTATGTGGCTTTAGCTACCACAGACAATAGAAGTATTACTAGACACTATTCCAAACTACATTGCACAAAGTTGTGAAAACTTCATCACGACTCCTTACACAGTTACATCTTTTGAGCTCAAAATTCCTGCACTTTAAATTTTAAACCACATACATGTTTGGCTTATGAACAATTGGCCTCTCGCAAAATGCTAAAATCCTCTTTTTTGCTGAAATTTATATAAAAAGCTGAAACTGAAGTAAAAAAAAGCTTATTTTAAAATGATTTTACTAGAGTATGTTTTTGTGAGTGACACCACAGTCTAATGTATAACAAACCTGAAAAGCAAACAAAAAACTTAAGGTCAAATGCTGCATCTTCTCATCACCAGGCCTGTGTCTTACCCACAGAGAAGGCAGATGCCTCCTCCCCACCAAGCTGTGTTTCCTTGACCCCCACTTCGCCATAAGCCTCAACAAAAAAGGCTTTTCTCAGCAGATTTCCAAGATGAACTATATCTCCAATGAACTTTTTTCCACGTCCACCAGAGGAACCTGTCGGCACCATTTCAGCTTGATGCTTTTTTACCCATCATTCAGCTGTTGATAGTCCATCCTCACAGTTGTGTGTGTGTGTGACCCCTTGGTCATATTCTGTCCAGTGAAACCAATGCAGGCTAATGAACTAGTCATGAGATGTTCAGTTAAAGAGGACCAGTGGTCATCAGGGTGGACAGTACAACAGTCTACTTACTACAACCTATGAGAGAGCCCCAGTATATTCAGTCACACACACTAATTGTTCCAGAATTCAACGTACTGCTCTACACACACCTGCTGGACACACTGGATTCATACACTAACATTAGTGCAGTAAATGGCAGCCGTACCAGGAGTTTCTATCAGGCTTTGAAAGGCTTTTCTAATTTGGCATGAACATAAACACAGACACACTCACCAACACACTCCTACTACACCAGGGTCTGAAGAGCAAGCATTTAGTTAACACTCAGTTGGGGGGAAAAAAAAAATCAGTTCCTTATTCGTCCCACAATGGGGAAATGTGTGTGTCTTGGCAAACAATACAGGTTGCCACACAGGCGCCATGAAGCCAGATGGGAGGTGTCATTAGGGATGTGAGGTTCTTCTGGGAATCAAACCCAGAACTCTCTGCTTTCAAGGCAGCTATGCTAACCGCTACACCATGAAACCCAAAGGTCAAGCCTGATACTGAACAGGGTTACGAGAAATCGGAAGCAATATTTTGCCCTTTGACAACTCTTTGACCAAACACTGCCTCTGCCTCTGGCCTGACTGCAGTTCTTTAGAACATGAGGAATGAGGAGAATCTAGAGCAGGGGTCACCAACCTTTTTGAAACTGAGAGCTTCTTCAAGGGTACTGAGTAATACGAATTCTTGGATACACACTTCCTGAATTATATATAGTAACAATGGGACAAAATTATATGTAAATATAATATATGTAAATATAATTTTGTTGGATAACTACCTTCCTATCAATTCATCTTTTCTGAAATCATTCTTGAATCATTCCTTCTTGTTTTTCGTGCATTTGGCTTGAATTTGTTGTTTATGGCTGTTCCCATTCTACTCTGCCCTGTAGGTTGTCGTCTTCTTTAGTTTTTTTTGTTATTAAACATCTCTATGGAAATGTGTGTGTCTTGGCAAACAATATAGGTTGCCACACAGGCACCATGAAGTACTTGGTTGCAACTCCAAGGCTGCCACGGCAAACAATACAGGTTGCCACACAGGCGCCATGAAGCCAGATGGGAGGTGTCATTAGGGATGTGAGGTTCTTCTGGGAATCAAACCCATGAAACCCAAAGGTCAAGCCTGATACTGAACAGGGTTACGAGAAATCGGAAGCAATATTTTGCCCTTTGACAACTCTTTGACCAAACACTGCCTCTGCCTCTGGCCTGACTGCAGTTCTTTAGAACATGAGGAATGAGGAGAATCTAGAGCAGGGGTCACCAACCTTTTTGAAACTGAGAGCTTCTTCAAGGGTACTGAGTAATACGAATTCTTGGATACACACTTCCTGAATTATATATAGTAACAATGGGACAAAATTATATGTAAATATAATATATGTAAATATAATTTTGTTGGATAACTACCTTCCTATCAATTCATCTTTTCTGAAATCATTCTTGAATCATTCCTTCTTGTTTTTCGTGCATTTGGCTTGAATTTGTTGTTTATGGCTGTTCCCATTCTACTCTGCCCTGTAGGTTGTCGTCTTCTTTAGTTTTTTTTGTTATTAAACATCTCTATGTAACTGTAAGTCAGCATCTGTACCAGCTTACGACTTCGTTTGCTAATATATTCTAATGTTTTAGAGATCATGTGGAATTACTTAGACAGGTGCCTTATATCTGAGTTTTTACGACTAAATGACTTCTTTTGCTTTTCTTTTATCCCTTGATCTTGTTTCAAGTATTTTTCTGCTTTTTATTATTTGTTTGGTTGTTGATCAAAGGCAAAAAAAAGAAAATACACATCTGAAATTTGTGAATGCACTTTAGTCCTTCCATTTCTTGTTTGGTTGTTGATCAAAGGCAAAAAAGAGAAAATCCATTACACAAAAAAAGACTGAATTCTGCTAGTACTTTTCCCTAAATATACTGCGACAGAGGTTCATTTGTAAAGGGGTTATGTTCCCTATAATTACGCTTTTAATCATTCTAACAATATTATAACAATGTGTTAGAATTCAATACTGTCCATTCCTGCCTTGATGACCATCACCTTCAGACCTGGACAGCTGACAGGCCAGTCCAGCACAAGTACTCTGTTTACAAAGCCACGCCTTTGTTATTGGTGCAGAACCAAGCCTGGCTTGTCCCATAAAAGGTTTATGGAATTCCTGTTGAAAAAATCTATTTTTCTCAAAAGCACATTAAGCTGAAGAATTTCAATAAATATCTGTGGAACCTTGAAATATATGCAGACCATCAAGCCATAGCAACTGGTATCATTGTCACTGTAGCATGATTTTTTTTATTGGTAGTGTGCCTAGTGCCTAATAGTGTATCTGTTACATGTTTCATTTTACTGTATATATTTTTCACAATATAACGCAACGTTTTTATCGTAACGTGTAAAAAATAACAAAACTATCGTGCAATTCTTATGGAAAAACTTCACTGAATATATTACAACAAAATAAATAAATAAATTGACCAAACTATGTGCAATTGCACTTTTATTTGTAAATTTAAAAAGGTAAAAGTAAAACGGCAACGCGGGACCGTACTTCCGCACCTTTATTACACATCACCTGTGGTTCAAATGTACTTCTACAAATAGTCCATTCAGTTAGATCCAGGAAACCACGAAACGTAGCGTAATTACAGTTAATCTGTAGCGTTACAGGGGTCTGTTTATCCTAAAATTAAAAATAAATATGTTTCCTGTCCACAACTTTAACAAGACTTTCCAGGCAAAAGGGAGTCGGTGTTAAAACAATCACTGCGCTTTGTTGGAAAAATATTTTTTCACGGTACAAACCACGTCAATAGAGTTCAGAAGTTTTGGTACTGCAAAAACTTTTGGACCGATATATTGTTACTGACAAAGTAAGAAATGACAGAGCAAAATTTCGGGCTTACCTTTGAAGCTGCTTTTAACACACAACAGCGGCCATACTAGAGTCTTCCTGAAATGCTACGCATGCGCAACATATTAATGAGTCACTCCCAACGGCCAATGAGTTATTTGGAAAATAAGAACAGCCCCGCCCCAACCACGAATGTAAACAAAACGGTAACGCGTGCTTGACTTTTTACAATACTTATAGAACTATAGAAACAACACTTGGAAATAAGTAAAACTGAACGTTAGAACCTATAACCTTAGATAAAGTGTAGTCGAGCAACCCATTATCTACAGCTTATTCCTTTGTAGGTTCGCAGAGGAGGGCTAGAGCCAATCCCAGCTGTCAACGGCCGAGGGCGGGGTACACCCTGGAGAGTTCGTCAGTCCATCGCAGGTCTTAAAATGTGACATTTAATTAATGATAACAAATGAAAATAAATTATTATTTGATTATTTAGAACCACAGCAAAAAATTAAATCAATATTCGTTTTTTGTTTCTGTCCACAGGGTACAAATGTTCCCTGTTGCCATAACAGAAATGCTAAGAAAAGTAAAGGTTATAATCATTAACTGATGATGAAAAAATATATTTTTTTACTTATTTTGATGTGTTCACATGTGGTTTGGAGTATCTTAAGTAGGTTTTATAGTTCAGTTTTACAAATTTCATTTTAGGAATAATGGGCAATGCCAATTTTATACATATTAATGATACACCATTTAGTGCAAATAGAGCTACGGATGAAGGGACATCCTACTGTTTTACTTTCTGACTGGTATGGCCATATGGCCAGGATTTGATTATATCTAGCAATGTTTATTATATTTGTCGGTAAAAACACGAACACCAAACAATTTAGTTTTATGCCGTTCGAAGATGTCAAACAAAGATTTTGCAGTCTGCGGTTACACAAGTTATTTCTTATTTAGTCCAGTAGAGGGCCTCGCAGCACAAGCACAGAGCCCTTGCTTTTGTTGTCTTAAGTACTTTGTATATGTTTTCTTCCCATATATATAAGAAAACATAACAAACCAAATATATTACAACTTGTATCTTTGTAAATACAAAATATGTTTGATATTAATTTCAGGATTGAGAGAAAATGAAAGGGGATAAATAAAAAAGCTTTGATGTGGATGTTTAAACCAAGGGCAAAAACATGACAACTTTTGATGTTGCTATAAATATGTAGTTAAAAGACAAACCTCCCTATAGTCAGTGTAAACCTGTTGTGTGTTCACGCAGTAAAATGAGAAAGGGAAAGTAACCACAGAACAGATGTTGCGTCCATGGTATAATTTAAGGTGTTTCCTGCACAGGCCTGAGTGATGGAGAGCCACGCTGCCTATTTAAGGAAACCCACAGTCTTTGCATGTGCCTTTTACAACTGCTCTGCATCTGCTCACATCTCTGTCTCTCCCCTGTGTGTCCACACTCCGCCACACAAAGTACAGTCCAAATGTTTGGACACTTTTCTCTAAATAAGGCAGCCTAATCGGAGTTCCTGTCATTTCTGCCTCTTTCCCAAACATCTCCAGCAGTGTCTGTGGCAGTTGCAAGCTGCAGCCTGTGCATTCTTTTGCCTTGTATGGAGAAACGGCCTGGCCTGTGGAGTCTTTGTGCAGGGCAGCTGCGTCTCTCCATTGGCTGAGGCAGAAATGGGAGGAACTCACCGGGAGTATGATTCTTTAAACAAACTTTTCAGTGGGACTGCCTGCTTCCTTTCCTTTCCTCTGCTCTGTCTGACCCAGACAAAAGGACTTTGTTGGAGTCCCCGATTCTTTTACCTGAAGCCAAGGTGAGAAAAAAATGCAGTTTTGTCACAATGTGGTTGTGAAAAAATGATTTATTGTTAAATGTTTATATGTTGCTGACACTGTGAAGATTTCAAGGCTGTGAGTCCAGTTGTAACAATGGTCAACTCTGAGTGACAGAACAGAACTGCAGAGAACTTCTGACGCTCAGTCTTGATCAGCAGCACCAGATAACGTACAGCATACGGCCAGATAAGGCACTGCGTCTGCGTGTGTACTTCCATCTCACCTCTATGGCACATTAGACAGAGGAATTCTGAATGCAGCTGATCCATTTAGCTCAGTCTTTCTTGAACACACATGTCTATGCACACCCTCCATGTCTTTTTTTTTCATTTGTAGTGACCACTTTAATTGCTCATAGCTTTTTTTTTTCCAGTATTCCTAAAACTACAGGCTTCCTCAGTGTATTACTGTACACGACACGACGTGAAGACATAGGAATACCACAGTGGTGTGTTTGGTGATGTCACTGTGTTTGATGGTGAGAGTGAGTTCTGGCACTGTAGAGGAACAGAGGGGCTTTGTGAAGGGGATAAAGGGAAGTGAACAGAGGAGTCTTGGTGGTCAGAGAACTCCGAGCCCAGCCCAGGCACATCAGTCTGATGTTTACATACCTCTCCTTTCATGAGCTTCATTATTGAGTGAATATCCAACACTACACATTTCTGCTGTTGCTACAGCATCACATTCACTGGAACTGGGATTGAAAAACATTCCCATAATTTTAAATTTTTTCCAGAACTCCAGCTTATTGTTTGTTCTTGACTGATATAAAAAATAAAATAATAAATAAAAAGAAAACTCAGTGTGAGCCTTACATGACAGAAAGGAGTGAAGTGTTTAAAGTGCTGTAGTTTACACCGGAGACATTTATTTAATGGAAAATGCTTTTATTACTCGCAAACAATTGCTGGACAAATCGCAGTGCGTGTCGACTACATGGAAGTCTGGTGTACCGGGAATTTATTAAAACTTAGGATTTGGAGAGTCGTTAGCTATTGTTGTCGTTTCCTACTTCCTCAGTTGACAGAGATGGAGAAGGGGAAGGGTGTGAGCCAGCGACAAGCACCAAATGAGAGCGCTGGAGAGCAGTTAAATAACACAAGGCTGTAATGGAAGAAAAGAAGGTCACGACATCTGTAACACAAAGATTAGTTTTTAGAATTACTTGACTGGACACCGAAGCTTCAAGATGTTTGGAAACAAGCAAGAAGTGAGTGGTGTTCTGTAATATGATTTAACTCATTCTAAAATGTATGGGTTTGGGTTAAACATTTAAATGTCATTCACTAGAAGGCCACAGCAGTGTAAATTAGTATAATTACACATTCACATTCATACTATTTGCAAGTTAGAACCTGACCTTTAACCTTTTTGTATAGTGGCTTTGGCTAAAAGAAATTATTACAATAATAATCCATCATATTTAATACGAGAGCCCAGGACTGGCCTAGTGATGAAACATTTTTACTAAACATGTAACATATTAAACAGAGTCATGAGAGTGTTTAAGACCTGGATGAAATGCTTATTTAAAAAGCAGTGATGTTTCAAGCACAACAGGCTCTTCCTCACACTCTGCAGGTGAAACTCTATAAAATGATCTCTAACTACAAGACGTCTCAGTGTCAACGTGATTAACAGTGAAATCACCCAAGAGCACACATAGACTCCTGTGGTTTCTGCTTACCGTCTGAAGGTCCCAGGTTCAAACAAACCCCCTGAAAAAAGAGAAAAGGTCGACTGTGGTTCTGGACCCAAGGAAACACACCTCATGTATTTAAAATGCAACTTGAATAAGAAAAGAACAAATCGGAACACCTCAGTGCTTCCATTATAATCCTTTGAGGATGTTGGTGTGACATTTCAAACGCAGACTTGGAAATGTCACCGGCGTTTGATAAATCAATAGGGGCTTTAAGGTATCCAAGCCTGTTCTTACTCTGTGGTTTCAGTTATTAGAGTCTATTACTGTGAATCAACTTGTACACACACTTCATCAGAGATCTGATCAATTCCTGAGTGTCTACATCATCTCAGTTCTGTACTGATTCTTCAACCATGTTCACACTTGACACCAACCTGTCCGCCCACACGTATGACAAGTCTTCATGAAAGATCTATTTCTGGAAGGAGCTGAAGTTAGCTGCAGGTTACGCTGTGCTGAGAAGTCATTTTCAAACCATTCACCGAACTTGACATGTCTGGTGACGCTCCGAGAGATGATTTCATGGCTTGAGGTTAATTAGAAGGAAAACACAGGAGAACTCGCATGATGACACCTCTTCTTATTTTAAAGCTGAAATCCAGACTAATTTGAATACATGTTTTCAGGCCTTGATCAAACCTCCACCATGTCGAGCAAGCGTGCCAAAGGAAAGACCACAAAGAAGCGCCCTCAAAGGGCCACGTCCAACGTGTTTGCCATGTTTGACCAGTCTCAGATCCAGGAGTTCAAAGAGGCATTCAACATGATCGACCAGAACAGAGACGGCTTCATTGACAAGGAAGATCTTCACGACATGCTGGCCTCCCTGGGTAAAACAGTCCACTGATCTCTCATCTGATGTTTCAGTTACTTATCTTAAGAATTCCTTGGTTACATTCTACGATTGATTTAAAACTTTCATCTTAAGAATTCCTTGGTTACATTCTAAAGATTATAGATCTAAAGATTATATTCCTGTGCTCACTTCACTGATATAACTATATTAATATTATTTTTTAGTATTTCCTGCATATTGGGTGGATTTTTACCACTGAAAATTGCTGTATAGTTCCACTAAAAAGTATTTTGTGACAATGTGTTTCAACCTCAGGTAAAAACCCTTCTGATGACTATCTGGAGGGAATGATGAGTGAAGCACCAGGGCCTATCAACTTCACCATGTTCCTCACCATGTTTGGCGAGAGGCTCAATGGAACAGACCCTGAGGACGTCATCCGTAATGCCTTCGCCTGCTTTGACGAGGAAGGCTCAGGTTAGTCAAAGTTACCAGAAATAATCATTTAAAACACACCACCTGTGTTGGCAACTTCCTTCACCTTCTGCTCCATGAAGGTGTGATCCATGAGGACCATCTGAGAGAACTGCTGACGACCATGGGTGATCGGTTCACCGATGAAGAAGTGGACGAGCTGTTCCGAGAAGCGCCCATCGATAAGAAGGGCAACTTCAACTACGCAGAGTTCACCCGCATCCTCAAACACGGTGCCAAGGACAAGGATGACGAGTAGAGGAGGAGCTAACAACCGCTTCAGACCCCTGCACACAGAAGAAGACCTACGTTCACAGAGGGAGTAGACACCGCGAAGAAAAAAAGATTATAGCAACAAAAATGAATATTCACGACATAAAATGTCATAATGAGAGTCATAGCACTCAGGATTTTAGAAAATCACATCCCGTCACATCATGTTACAGTGACATAATGTAACAGTCACAGCATGTTACAGTGACATCATGTTACATTGACAGTACACTTAAAGCAACCAGTTGAATCTACTGTGCATCCAAATCTAAATCACTATTGCAACATTGTGGCTTTTTCCATTTTTGATGTATGGTTTATGATGAAACTGCAGAGAGGAATCTATACTTGTGTAGTAGATTTTCATAGATAATGAAAAGAAACATGAGTATTACACTGTGTCACCCTGAATTTCATAGGATGTTACATCAGTTGCCTTTATGTTTGTGTTTGTCAAAGCTTGAGATCTTTGTTAACACAGATGTATCATTAAACACATATAACACAGAATCAACTACTTGGACTGCTCAGAGTTTTAAAAACAATCCCAGATGATCAGTCAGTGTGTGTGCAGGGGTCACTGGGACTGTCTGAGTGTAGTGTGACATGTGAAACATCAGCCCTTTTTACTTCTATCTGCCAATTAGCTCCCACACCTACACAAGCACTGCAGAGATTTACCTACTTTAAATATTTGTATTCCTATATCTTGGAGAAAACTGATGCGTATGTGTGCATGTTGCTTTGTGACAATCAGAAGTGATGAGTGATACAACGAAATAAAAAGATAAACCACGAAAGGACTGAAGGATCCTGTACGTGGGCCGTTGAAGGACGTGAAAATGCAGAGACAAATAAAAGATAATGGAAGTTTGAGTTTGGACCATTATTTATGATTACATCACACACGTCTGAAATTTTAGACCAAATTCCAAAACATTTGGTCATGTCTCGTACAAAAATGGTTCTATTTCTAGTCTATGTGACTTTGAATCAGTTTTTGAGATCCTCTCAGAGTCAGTGAGTGAGACTTCAAAACAAGGACAGAGCGAAAGCACATTAATGAAAAACTGAGTTTTATTCTTTGAAATGCTTGTACAAACACATTTAAAGTTTAAGGCATATATTGCACGGCTATTCTCATATATATATATATATATGTGTGTGTATATATATATATATGCATGTATATATATAAAAATGGGACAGCATCCCTCAGTCGTAATAAGGCACAACAGCCAGTCAGTCCAACATTCAGTCATGAGTCACAAAGTGAACTTGGGAAAAACAAAAAACTATTGAAATGCACCAGGCTGTAAAACTATAGAATCAATGAAGTTCATGCCAATAATTACATAGGAAACAAAAAGAAAAAGCAACTTGAAAATATTTACATGTGTCAATACACTGTGTTTTTTGTTCGGAGCATGAGTTTATGCCTAAAACCCAATATAAACAGTACCCATATAAAACCTGCCAAATTTTGACCCACATTTCATTCCAGTTCACATCCTATTGGGTGTCGTCACAGTGGCACAATGTAGTGTCAATAATAAAAAAATACTACTTTTATATTTAGAAGTCATTTCTACACAATGTTAACAAATATGACCCAAACCTGATGTGTCCTATAAATTGAGGTATAAATGCTGGTCTAGTACCTATAAGAAACAAAAGCTTTGCAGTAAGAAGAGAGACTAAGTAAAAAAACAAAAATCAGCAAAATCCTATTTCCAAGAGTTTTCTGATTTTACTGACACTGTGGTCTGTGCTCTTTAGCTTTTTGACCCCCCATCATTGTAACCATTTGAACCAAGCAGAGGCAGAAGACACTTGTTAAGACCATCGAGTCAAATGTCGTGATTCATGCTTAGACAGTTTCATAGAAACTACAGCTTCAGGGATACATACGAATACTGCTGAACTAACGGTATCTCACAGGTGGAACGCGCGCACGCAGTGACAGAACAAGAATGAACCAGCTACTTTACTCTATCTGCTACATTTGCTTTAAACTATGCTGAAGACACCTGGACTTAGCTTAAGACTGATGTGTCAGCTCCAAATCATTCTGACAACAGAATCTGATAAATGCAGCGATTTTACATCAAATAAGGACATAAAAAGGTAGATGGAAGTCAAAATCTCAGATTCCCCACAAATTTCTGCAACAAACATATTTGAACTACTGTTTATTCTGCACATGCACCCCCCTGCTCTGGAAACAATCCCCTGGAAACCATTTATGACTTGACCAAAGGAGGATGTCTGTATTCTGAACACAAGACTTGGAATTCATAAGGAAAAAAAAAATATATATATAGTGCAGAAAGAAATTTTCCTAAAACTCTCGACCTTCAATGCAGGTCTGTATATAACAAAAGCAAACAGGAATAGGAGACGTTTAACGAAGTCTAGTACTGTTGCTGTAGACGCCGCTCTGCTGGTGCTCATTATTCTGCCAATTTAATCTTTGACACAAATAAAGGGACGTTTTGAAATGTAAACCGTTCTATAAAATGTTCTCTTTGGAAATGGCACCATAATGTTCTTACAATCAGCAGTGTCTGCAAAGGTTGATGAATTAAAACAATAAAAGTTTCTGGAGGCCAAACGTTAGTAAAAATTTGTCATGTCTGTTACTTTGTCCCAGTTTCTTTGTCCAATACTTTACTGTGTGTTGTAGAGGAACAGGCTTTAGTGTCTACACTGGTGAGAATGATACATTCTTTTATATACAAAGTGATCTCAGCTAGATCTCCATTCTCTCCAGACTTTGTACAAAACAAAAACAAAAAAGAAGAAAGAAAAAAAGTAGCCTGCTCCGTTACAGCTCCTAGTTCACCGTTTCACTCATTGTGTGCAGTGGAGCCCAGCCTGTGGTGATGGGGGACTTGACCACTTGAAGAGGACTTGGTTGTCGAGTGTCCGAATGTACCACGCTCCAAACACTAGGTGCATTTCTGTTGTTGGTGGAAGAAGGGTGAAGGAGGGGAGAGGTGAGCTGGGAGGCGAGGCCTGTAAGAGGTGTGATGGTTGGAGGAGAGGGTGACGTTGAAACCGAAGCCTGGGCCGGGGCAGAGACTGAGGAGAAAACAGGGGATGGAGGTGCTGCCGAGGTTGTGACAGATGAGGGACATGGCCCAGTGACTGGGATTATGGGAGGTTTGTGAAATGGCATGTACAGAGAAACTGCTCTGGCGGTTGAGAGGGATGTGGAAGCAGCGGCTGGAACAAACGCTACATTTGGAGAGGAGATTTGGCTCGGAGCAGCAGCAGAGGCTGGACTTGTATATGGGACTGGAGCTGGCACAGAAACCGGCCTTGACGCCTGCACTGTTGTACTTGCTGCACTGGGCTGATGAGCAGGAGCTGAAGCTATGCCTGAGGTTGGAGCTGCTGCAGCCTTCTGAGAATCCAGTTGCCCACAGACAGATGTCGGCAGCAGCCCTAATGCTGGCAGAAGAGATGGAACAGGCGGAGGCTGTTTTGGACTGGAGGCTCCAACTCTGTCCTCCAATGGGCTCCAGATTACATTATTCACAGGAAGAGGAGACAACCTTGTCGTTGGGACCAGGACAGGAGTTGAAACCAGGACAGGGGCTGCTATGGACTGAACCACTGGGGTCTTCACTGACGTTACAGCTGGTACTGGAGCTGCCAAAGCTTTTTCCATCAGACTCTGTACTCTAGAAGCATCCATGACTTGTTGGCCTTCTTCTGGGGGCGGTGTAGGGCCCATGTCACTGCTGTAAGCACTACACTTGGTTTCTACAGACTCTTTTGGTTTGTTCTGGGCCTCTTGAAGTCTTTTAAAGTTCTCTTGCTCTGCTGCTCTCTGCAGAGCTGCATCAACTAGAAGCCTCAAATCACTGAAGTCTTGGGTGGGGAAAAGCTCGGGTGGTGTCGGGGGAGGCGTGTTGAAGAGGCCACCGGTGGGACTAGCTGCCATGGTTGTGCTGGTGAGACAAGCTCCATGCACCCCTCTTTCCTCTACTTCCTTGAGAAGACTGTGTGTGTCCAGCTTCATTAGTGCATGGACTGATGCTTCTTTACCTGGGTAACCAGCACCTGTCAAAATTGCTGTTGCTGTGTTACCCAGAAGGCTGAGGTCTAGGGTAGGGGTAGAGCGGATGACCGATGGGCGTTGCTGGGAAGAGGCAGGGGGTGAGATTCTTTCAGGAGAGCTTGTTCCACCTCCATTGCCTGAATGGCCTTCATTTTTACCAGCAATCTTTCGGGAGATGGTGAACTTGGTGGGGTCTTTGCCATCCTTGCGTAGAAGGTCAGGGAGAAGGCGCCGGCGTGCGTTAATAAACCAATTACATATCTGAAAAAGATATCAAAACATTAATTGAACAGGTAAACATACCACATTTTAATTATATATATATATATATAAATATATTACATTTCAAATTAGCTACATATACACCTGTCAAAAACCAAATTATTTAAATAATGAAGTACAATTTTCCCCATTCCTAATCTGTGTGCAAACCAGCAAAAATGACTATAATCAACATGCTGGTCTTTGGAGCAGTATTGAAAGGCTGCATGCCAAATGTTACATTTTAGATTCACTGGTACTATACTTGATGTAACTAGTTGTCTCTTGTCAGGTTTCACGCACCATAGATCAAAATTAATGACCCTGACACTATGCACAGTCTCATCTCTGCTGGTGGTGTTTAGTGAAAATAAATTAACACATAATAATGAACACTGCTAATGGCATCCAATCTTTACCTGCAGCACTGAGAGGTTGGTCTGGCCCGACAGACTGAGCTTCTCTTGCTCTGATGGGTATGCGTTAAAGCGATGTTCATACAGCCAGTTCCGCAGAATCTCCACCGCCTCCTTGGGGAGGTTGCCACGGCGACGGCGCTTCCCCAGGACCCCCCTTCCTGACAGGTCGAGTGGTGAGCCGTCATCACTGTCCGACACGGCGGAGGAATGATCCTGCTCTGGTTGTTGCTCTTCTTCCAGAGCTGAAGAAGAGGAAGTGAGAGTCAGTTGTGTTCAATGCACTTCACAAAATTTTGTCAGAGCTTCTTTCCATTTCATGTCTGTTTATGCAGACAAACGTTTACAGTTTAGAACGTTTCATGGAACATGTTACAAAAATCTATACTTTCAAGGATTTAGTATTCAGTCACTGAAGGTAATCTCCTCTAAAAAAATGCCTGATCCCAGGGGTGGACCACAGAGTGCAACAAATGTCTTTCTGTAGAACTGGCTGAAACCTGACCCCCAGGGCAGCGCCTGTCTTCACAAAGGAGATTGTGTGCATATCAACATCACAGAAGCCAGTGGCCCAGGAACCTATTGACCACGCAGAGGAGGCTGTTGTCACCTCATGCCAATTCGTCTCAAGATGGCTGCAAGAGCAGTTGACAAACCTTTGGTGAGTGGTGTTAAAGGCGGGGGAACTAAAAACATGCAAATGCAAATTCTACTGCAGTGCTCTCGTGCCCTGCTTCTGCAAATGAGCACAGTTGTCTCTAGGAGGTGTGATTACTGTAATCATTTGTATATTTTCAATTCCCAACTAGCTGTGTATAGTAATATACAAATATAACTTCAAATGCCAAAATTAGTTTAAGTTAAAATGCAAGTTTCTGTGAATGTACTGACTAGTGAGATGACACAATTCCTCCTGTAGTTGGGTCTTATGTCCAGTCTGTTCACACCTCCTTTTTAAAAAATCGTTTTGTTGTTCTGACAAAACTAAGTTTGAAGTAAGATATATAATATGATGTGTTTCACTATCATAGTTTTAGGAAGAACTGTTTCCTGACAAAAGATAAATTCAAGGAAAGGTTAAGTGTTTCCTTTACCAACTCTGACATTTGCTGCTGCCAAATCTTTTGAAAGCCATAGAAGTACACTCTAACATTGGACAAAAACTTTTTGAAAATTATATAAAATGACTAAACTGGCTTAAGATCATTGTGTTAGATCCCAAATCACCATGACTACTAAAATAGATATTTGAAAAACTTTTTGTGGACTGAACGTTAAAACAGCAGCCCAAGCTGTTTCTATGTGCAAGAACTGATTTATGTCAATTAATGGATGATGGTGTCGTCTAAACTCACTCCTGCTAGAAAAAGAGGAAACTCGTGTTGGTATACAACTAACACGAGTTTCCTCAACACCGTGGGTTTTTCTTCCTTTGAGAAGGTTTAGACGGTTTTATAGGTAGGATCTTGATTTACAACACACACAAAAAAGGTATCTTTATTTCCAGAAAAAAACGAGCAAGTTTATCACTGGACTATCGTTTAATGACGCAAAACTGTCAAACAGGTAAGGTTCCTGTTTATGAACTGTAGTCCTCTCAAGATCTATTTAAAACGATAATCACTACTTGGGTCTGGTTCTTGGGGTTTGGATGTTACTTTGAAACAAATTTGACACCGCTCCCTTTTCCCCCACTGTGGCAGAAATTTATACTAAACTGCTTACATGTGTAGCGTAAGATCAAAACAACAAAGTAAAAAACGGTTAAGAAAGACGAGCCGTTTGTTTACAACGGTCCTCTGTGCGATTTAAAGGAGGAAAAAAATCACTGCCATGGATTTGTTATCCGTGTACTAGGTAACAAAAGGAAACCGTTGACGGGACGCAAAGTGAATGCTACAAATGTTACGCAGTATAAAGTTCAAACGGTCCATTTAAACAAACTGAAGAACACTCAGTCCGTCTGCAAAAGATTTGAATGCGACCGTTAGGAACATCACATACAACTTCTCTGAGCTGCTCGCTTTGTCCCGTCGCTCATCACGTTGTCCTTTGAGCTAGTACGTGAAATGACGCACACACGACAGAGAATCGAGCCAAATGTTCACAAAACCCACAACAGCCATGCAGCCAACATTCGGTAAATTAACCATCTGGAGCGCACAAAGAACGAAGCCAGACAGACATAGAAAGCCGCACTGCCTCCCTCATGTCGCTCTGCCAGATGGACACCATGCCTCAGCCTCGACAGATAACTAGCTGGCTAGCTGTCCCTCAAATTCAAACACAAACACACCGCATTGCCCGAACAAGCACACACAAAAGCCCTGAAACAGGCGAACACACGGAATGTCTCACTGGAGACAGGCGGCCAGAACGTTTAGTACCGGTTTACATTTCAAAATATATGCCACACTCATTAGAAAACCAACAATGTGGTGGTGTGCGGGGACGCTCACCTCGTTTGAAAGCTTTCATTCTTTGTTGATGGCTGGCTGGAAGCACGCAGCTGTCCCAAGTAGTGTACAAAGCCGAGCGATGGTTAAACACTTTTCTTTAAAGACGCCGAAGGTATTGCGCTTTTCTTATCCCGCTCAAAAGCTTCGTTTAATGGATTCCGTCACACAGCAAACCTTCCAAAGACAGTCACTTTCCATCGTCCATGCTTACACGATAATTGTTTTCTTTTTGTTGGTATGAGTGTCGCCCGTTCCTTTTTACCTGCACGTAGCAGCAGCGCCAGCTTCTTTGCCAATCTTGACAGTCGCAGCGGAAAAGATCCCGCCTCTTTAACAGGCGACAGCCAATGATGGCTCCCTTTTTTGCCTCGCGGGCCTGTCGTCGGCCAATTACAGAGCTGAGTCAAACAGCAGGACGGGCCCAATGTCTCATTGTGACTGACGGCAAATCCATTTCATTCAAAATATCGAGCATGACGTCCGGTCCATACAAACAAGGTTGTTGTGTTGTGGCGGAGTTTCACATCTCACGAACATCTTAGTGCGGCGAAACTGTGGTTTTTAGAGACCACTACGGTTTCTTCCTGTGTAAGGGATAAAGGGACACGATGTGAACAGGCTTTATGTAACAACATGTTCTAGCTACGTAAATCATAAACGTCGACAGCTTCGGCGTTTGTTAGAAATATAATTCTTCGGGAGGTGTTCTTACGTTCTATGAAGACGTTCTGAGCTATGACACTGCTATTTTGAAAGTCATAGTTCAACGTAAATAAAAATGGCTTTGACTAATATACACCGGATGTCAGAAAACTGTCAATTACAGATCAAAATTCAAATCTCGAGCTCTTATAGAATTATTAATTTAATGCATACAAGTTAATGACATAATAAATAATAATTTGCTTATTTTTATTGAAATCAACAGATGATAAATATTCTACATCCTTCTCACCAAGACAACTATGACTGTTATACATACTGTTTTCTTTGTTGTTATTAAAGCTTATATAGCTATATTTCTTTTATTATTTTTTAAATTATTCATAGCATTACACCATCCAGCTTTACACTTATATTACACTTGAACTCTCAACAACATCTTTAAAAACTTTTTTAAATACCAGTGAACTGATGATATCACTAAATAGTTTCAAGTCACATAAATATGAGATATGAGGCATATAATTCAAAAGAAAAAAGTTCACAACCACTTTGAATAGGCCAAATGATGTGCTTTACTCATAGTGGTTTCCAAAGTGGGGGGCAATCTCCCCTCCCCCACAGGCTGAAGAGCTACAACGGGGGCTGGGGAGATGGGGAGCACAGCAAGGCAAACAATTTCAACATTTCCCTTACAGTATTTGTCCCAGTGGGGGGACAGCAATTGGTAGCTTAGCGGGAAAAAGTGCTTTATTGCTGTATTGCAGGATTACATTTTTTCATGTACATTTTTGTCAAAATCCTGCAAATTAATCAAGTTATTAATGTTTTGAAATTTAAATAATAGAATATCTAGCTAAACTGTTGTTGGAGGTGTACAGCTCCACAGAACAACACCTACTTACATATCACAGCTGCCATTGCATTTAACAGTGTTTACTTTTCCCATATTGTAAGAGTAACTTCAGCTTTAACTGCTATTAAGGAACAAAACATCTAGAAACTGTTTTGACTGCACGGTTGCAGCATATAATAAACACAAAGCTGTTGTGGAATCCAATCAAAAATACACCCAGAGAAATGTGGAGTCTGTAAATATTTAAAAAATAAAACAGCAATGATGACTTTTTTGAGAAAGTTTGTGTTCAATTTATTTAATATTATGTCTCTCTGTAATACACCTGAACAACTTCCATGTAGTATAAATAGATTTAGAGCCTTGTAAAGTTTTTCTTATTTACAGAAGACGTAAAAGAAGCATGGAGTAGGGTGGCGGGTGGGGGAGGGTGCATGTTGACTTTAATATCAAAGTACTCTTTAAGTCGATATTGCACATACAGTTTAAACGTTACCACAGTATAGTCACAAAGATCTTAAGGAAATGTCCTTTAATTAACAAAACACACAGTCAATATTGTCTCCAGAATAACTACCCCTTAGTATTAACTCACACAACCCCCAACATACAGCCTAAAAATGTAGTAATATACTGCTATGCTTTAGAATGTGTGCTTGCTTTAAACATGTGTCTGATTTGCACAGACAAATATTGTTTGCTGTCATTTATCTTTGACAGAAGCACAATTTCAAACCCTCTGCGCTTTCCTTTTCTCCATGGAACAAAACAAAGACGTCAGTTTGGTGAAAGTCGCCTTTAGATAACAGTGTATGAGAAAGGACTCTTAAAGCTAACCCAAAGTTTTTTTCAGTCATACAATGTGTTTTTTCTGCTTGGGAGAAGGGGCAAAGAGAAGTAAGATTATAACGTACAGTCTACATTTCACATTGGTGGCTATGGAGTGCAGCTAAATAAGGACATTTTAAAAGTTACATCATCTCTAAGAAGGGAGCTGCTCAGGTCAGTGGGTCTGTGATGACTGTTTGACTTTGAAAGGCTACATCCATCCAACATGTATATGTGGGGCCCATTATCAGACCCCTAAATCAATGGCTTTACAGCTATAAGCCCCTCCTCTGGCAATGCAGCTGTTTGGATCACGGATAACGATACACAGGATGTAGACTTAGGTGTGTCCAAGTGGATACGCAAGTGTGTATTAGACTGTAAGCTTATTCACCTAAAGGAGACTTTAATGTGCTTAGGTTTGTCAATGACATCTTTCAAACTTTTACCCATCCAAATTCAGCAGTGTAAACAAGCAGGTTTGTCACTGAGATTTTGATCTGCGTAATTGTGTAGAAAAAATATTTAGGCCTAAAAAAACAATCAATGTAGAATTTTAAAAAATCTAGTGAATCAATTTTCACACAGACAGTTAAATTAGATTTTGTCCACAAATTAGCCCATCCACACACAAATGGAACACACACACAAAACACAAGTTTTTTGAGGAAAACAACTTGTCAAACAAACACACACACAGTTTCCTGGCAGTCAGAAATCAAATCAAGCCTTTAAGTCACACAAAGGCCTTCAGGTGCTAACAACACTATCCACACCAGTCAAACGGAGGGGGGAGGGAGAGTGGGGGACATTGACAGCAACCAGAGGACAGGCTGTTGACACCCCTGAGTCATTTTCCTTGCTAAGAGTCTTCCCCAGCAGGCAAACACAACAAGCAAACAATGGCCCAACCATCAAGAGAAAGCTCTGGTCAAGATAGAGAAAGAATGGCAGTCATCAGGCTTTTCCAATTCAAAGCCCCAGGCTGCATTTTTCAGTCACAGTGGGTGAGAGAGGCATTGCAGCAGTCAAAGCAATGGAATGACATTGCAGCAGTTTTACATAAGTAATGAGAGAGGGGAGGGTGGGTGCTGTTTACTACTTTAGAAAAGAAAGCAAGAGTGAGCAGATGGCAAGAACACAAGTTCTGGTCAACAAGTGCCACAGAAGCTGACTTTAAGAATGTTACGCATTTAGATAAAAAAGACAACTTTAAATGTCAATTCATTAATCTGTGTGTATATTTAACTACATGTCTTTAGTAGTACACACACATACAGTAGTGTCTTTTGTTTTGAGGGTGTATTATCAGCCTGTCTGTAAACTGACACTGCTCCATCACCAAGAGTTCACTTGAAGGAAGTCATTTTTCTTACTCTATGTAGGTGATTACTATTTTTTTTTACCACAGTCTTTCTTTGCACATGAATATTTTCCATTTAAATCCCTAAACTTACTTTTATTTATTTTAAACATTTATGTTTGTCTAATCTGAGGTATTACAAATAAATATTTCTGAAAAACAGGTCTAAATTTTACAGAATGATAACAATTTTTAAAGGTTTCTCCATTTTTCCAAGGATTGGACAAATTTGCTGATTGGACAAATTTGCTGTTTTAACATTTGAATGTAGGAAAGAAAAGTTACATAACATCACACTACTTTTATGGTAATAACAATGAAACAACTTTAACAGTGATCAACTTTGGCTTCTGTCATCCTTCGTCAAAAATAAGCAGCTTTCAATAAATAATACTAACACGAGGATGAATAAAGTCAATAAAAATTGGCCAAAAACCCATTGAAGATTGCAGAACATGTCAAAAAGTAAAATCATTAATCTTGACTTTGTGTAATGAAATAAATCACTGGTTTCAGAAACAGTTTAAAATTAGAACTATGTGTGCTCCCACACATGCCACTACATTCATGAAATAAAAGCACTAAAAGGTTTGACACGTCTGACTTGAATGGTGGGCTGGGTTTATAAAAAGCATTTTCAGAAACCTTTCACAGACTGATTTAAGCACACGTCCAAAGATTCAACAAGAATATGACGAAACCCAAATATTTAGTAACATGTTGGCCTCTGTGTGTATGTCCAAAACTGACCAAGACCATCAAATGTGGTCACCAAGAGTTCCAGGATATGCCTTTTAAAACCGAAAATAAGTTAATCTTCTAAAATGTCAGTTTAGTCAAAATATTTCGAGTTTCATACTCGTATGCAAATGTTCATTTTCCCTCAAACCTGAATATTAAGTTCATCACATGTAAAATGGTCACAATTATCATAAAATACTTTGTTTATCACGTAGAAGACGGCTAAATAAATACATACAAGGAAGACGGACGTACTTCAGGCAACTTTTTATGTAGTGTAGTGCACTGGGTGTAGTTCGTGGAATGGCCATAGGGTGGTGCTGTGCAAAGCTACAAAATGGCCAATGATCTGGGAAGGGAGGGAAACCGAGGGGCAGGGCGGAGCGTTATTGCCCACATACACGTCCCACTTTATAAATCTAAAAGCCCAGACAGAGGCATTTTAAAACAGTCTTCATAAAGATTCTTTAGGATATAATGTCATAATAATAACTCTAATAACGTCACGAGCCTTTTTATATAATAACAAGAGTAGTAACAAGTAATACCAGGGTCCATTGACTGAGGTTTTTAATGGCAGCCTCCAATGACATGAAGTCTCCTGCTTCATATAGTCCACAACATCAGCATCTTTTTTTGATGGTTAGTTTACATTGTTGGGTGGAACCAGGACCAGCCTATAACTGTATGAATTTGTTGAGAATGGCCACGTTAACCCCAGTCCGACTTCCCATGTCTAGGGACTTCACTTGTTCTGCCCGGCTCCACATTTACGTGAACTTGTTAATAGCCAAAGTTCTTCTCAATCTTCGTGGCATATGTCAATGACACTTATCTGACTTAAATCCCTCCGTTTTTGCGTCGTACTCTCTCAAAGGCGAGTCTGGGCCTCGGGGACGTAGATCTCAATGCTGTCAGCGCTCTCTGTGGCTGAGTTCTGCCTGAATGAGGCAGCTTTCTTGGCAGCCAGCAGACGTTTTCGAGCCTCCTGTCTTTGCTTCTCCGCTGAGGCCGATGAGGAGGTGGACGAAGAGTCGGCGCTCTTCTCACGGCCCAGCGATGGCCGTCCTTTACCAGGTTTCTTTGATGGTGAAGGAGCCGTCTTTTCCTCTTCCTGCAGTGTCAGACAGAAGAAGGGTGGGGGCACAGGAGGAAGGACGGGGAAAGGGTGGTGGCGAAAAGGGAGAAGAAAGAAAAGACAAGAACATGAGAAGGTAGAATGAAAAACAGATCATTGTCAGGAGCTTTTGTGTTGGTAGGTCTGGGACACAGACCTTTGACAGACTGAAGGCCGACATTTATCAGACACAGAAAAAGAGTTTCTGTTCAGACCTGGTTTTGACATTCAACCAGACACTGATCACGAGTGGACTGTTAGTCTTGGCTGTTCACTTGCAGTGTAAGCAACGCCACACTGTATGCAATGACCTGTGACTTCACCAGAACCCACTGAGGTTTTTAGTGAGTCTGACTCTACAGATGTGTATTTAATCCTGGTGTTTGTTACTGCAAGAGTAACAACAACTGTAGTGTTTCTATCTTTTCTTTTCAGTATCAGTATCTCAGTATTCTGTTGATAATATGTTGGATATTACGAACTAGTAAATCTTGTTCTACAATTTTTGATTGATTGATTTACTGAATTTAGCATATCAGCTGTTTAGACGACCTTTCACATGACTCTTATTTAGATTAATTTTCCAGATGTTGACTTGAGCTATTTTGTGGCTCCATTTAAATTAAAATTAAATTAAAACTATTCTTTGAATGCACACTACAGTATTTTTCTTTTCATCTTTTGCATCTTTGATTTCCTTGCAACAAAAATAATTCAGCACATTTCCCCGTGATCTGATTACATTAATTTTACACTGGGTGAACTCACACCTTGACCTAACACTGTCCATTTGTGATCGAGGTTGTCCCAGGTCTGACAGAGTCAGAGACAGAGACAGCGACAGGACAGACCAGACAGTCGTTAAAAACAGACAAACAACTGGTAGCAACAGTACATTAAATGGCATTTGTCAAATGGAATGGTTACATGGATTGACGGGAACACTGTGTGAACGTTAAGGCACAGAAAGAATCCAGAGTAAGTTGAACATGACTGGTTTCTAAGACATTTATAGACAGAGAGACAGAAAAAAGACAAAACACAAAAGCTGAGGCATTAAAAAAAAGCAAGAGCAAAAGCAAGACTACATTCTTTCACACAGGCCGATGCACATTAGCCATGCTCAGCTGCAACACCCTGCAGTTAGGTACACATGCATGCTCAAAGCAGGGCTTCACATACATACACACACACACACCTCACACAAACCAACGTCAGCCCTCTTTGAGATAAATATCTCCATGCATGCCTAAAGGGATCTCTCTTGCCCCTTTGTTTTGACAGGGAGGCCCTGTTAAGAGTTCATCCCACGCAGGGACCAGGGGAGGAAGTCGAAGGGTAAAAAAGAGTGGGAGCAATGGTGGTGGTGGTGGGAGGAGAGAGGCCGGTGTCGGCGGCTTTCCTACCCCAGCCAGGGCACTGGGCAGCAGGGGTGGGAAGTACCTTCCGCTCAGGGGGTGACTGGGCAGCTGTGAATGGCACGTGCTGCCAGTCGTTGGATTTAAGGTGGTAGAGCTCATCGAACTTGAGGCTGATGTCCTCGATGGAGAGCTGCAACAGATCCCAGAAACCAGCCAGGTCTTGGGCCGTGGGCCGTGGGTTGGTGTTCACATTCTGCACAAGGGAGGATGACACAGGGATGAAAACATTCCTACTTTATACACCTGGTTTGTTGGTCAGTAGCTCACTATACATTTGTCTTAAACTTTTTTATTATTATTTTTACTTATTTTTACTTATTATTTTTATTTTTACATTTTTATTAAACTTTTTTATTATTATTTTTACTTTATTTTGGTTCATTCATAGTTTTTTGGAACTACAATCAGAATTATTTTATTGATTGGGGAGGAATTGTTGGTGACATCACTGGTGTATACATTTAAGTATGTACTCCGCAGTATAAATGAGATAAATATGTGTTATATAAATGACCTTATACAGCTTTAGTGCATTCAGAGAAAACTCTGAATGTGAACCATCCATTATGATTTAACTTCACAGTCAGTTTGTACAGTGCTTTACGTAAAAAGCTATTTATTTTTATTACCACTAGAGGGTGTGATATCACAGCATAACTCTAGTAAACAGAGTATCTGAATTGACTAATGTGTTGTATGACATTGCAAAAGTTCATGCAAGTATTTTGCATCATTGGCATTTCATCATTTGTCACTGAAACTTCACAGACAGGGTGGTTTTTGAAGCTGCCCTTACTGCTGCATTCACTGTTCTACCTGTACAATACTACAAGTTGAGCAGCATTAAAAGTGAGGCTGTCGTTCAGAAAAAAATCTATGACTAATGACTATTGATAAACTGTGAGTTCAGGTTCTGTCCCAGTGTGTCGGCCTGTAGATTGGAAATAAACGTGCTCTTACACACCATGTTTTGCTCACACAGTCCTCGAAACTGCTGAAACTTCTGGGACATCAGGAGCTGGGCACTTCCTACCGCACTGCGAACTTTCCCCAAGACTAAACACACCATGACAGACAACAAAAAAAAAACAAACAAACAAATACATGGCTCAAGAAATTGTCGTTCAAGAAAAATGAATCCTTGAAATTATGGAATGAACCTCAAATTAAATATATTACACACACACAGGTGTCTAATAGAGGAACACCAGACAGAACGTTTTGATCATCGCTGATCACCATTTTAAAGACTCACCCTCCTCTGAGAGCTGGTTGTCTTTGGTCTCCTGCTCCATCTGCTGGCACCAGCCTTCCATACGTCCAGTCTCAGCCTGCAGCAGTTTGAGAAACCAGTGGCCATCTCTTCGACACAGCGTCCCGCCTCCTACGCTTTGTGGCACACCACTGTTACCAACATTCCCGCTCTCCAGCCAGGGGTCAGGAGGTGGCAGAGACGAGGGGTCCAGCGCCGGGTCCAGACTTTCTGAGAAGGAGGAAGAGCTGCTGCGTGTGGTGGAGCGGTTGAGGATCTGCCTGGGTAGTGGGGGTGAAGTGGGGTCACCTGCATTGTCCCCATTGTCTATAGAGTCCTGTCCAGGAGGGGAGCTCATGGATTGGCTGGCACTACTGACCATGATTTTTTTCTCAGTGGTTTTGGTATGATTGACATGCATGATGATGGGGGCGTCCTGAGTGTCTGAGTCTGTATCTTGTTTGGAGGCCATGCTATTGGAGTTCCTAAAAAAGACACAAGGCAAGAGCGACTGTTGTTATATTTCCCACGCAGAAGAACAAATCATTCACAGAAGTGGACTCGAAACAATGACTAGGAACTACGAAAATTGATCAAAATAGTGGGTTGGTAATTTTGAATTATCACAACTTTGAATGCTGATTGTGCATCCAATTCATTCATTTGGTGTCACTGATTTTTATTGCGATAATAAGAAGTCATTGTTCTGTCGGAATGCAACAAAAACGAGTCATTGTGCAAACATGATATGATTGGCTCTGGCTGTAAACAAACATGTGGCAGGAAATTTCACATGAGAACAATAGGCCACAGTCACTGACAGACTTTCAGAAATATCCTGTACAAAATAAATGCATGACTGTGTGAGAGCAGCAGGATGTCTGACTGATGTATTTAACCCAATTGTTGTTTTATAGTTAAATGTATTTAGCTTTGATAAAATTGCACAATTATTAATAAATAAATAAAAGAAACAGTCTGAAATAAATAGATAAAAAAAAACAACCTTCTCACTTGGACAATTTCAATTAAATTAACTAGTACCTTAACTTAGTTTAAAGCTTGAGGAGTATTACAGTAATCTTTCCTAAAAACTAAAATCCATAAAATTACAAACAGTGCTCTGAGGAATTTTAATGGATCACTGAATGTTTATGGTGGCATTTTAAATTTCTCTGTGCTTTTTTGAATGGTAGTACTGACTGGATAAAACAGATCCAGTAGGTGGCAGCAATGTAACTCCGACAATACAGAGCTTAATTAGGTTTATATACAGACTCTTAATTCTAGAAAAAAAATGTCTCTGGAGTTGCCAGGAATTTGTGATTTCCAAATATGGGATTAGGAACCATTGTTTTAAGGAGTTGAAAAAATCTTTAAGCACAGATTTTTTGCGCACGTCCTGTGTGTGACTCGTGAATGAGGCCCATTGTGTGTCTGTGTAGCTATACACAGTGGTTTAAGGACTATCACAGAAGTTTCTTGCACTGAAAACAAGACAATCACAGAATGTGAACTACACTGCAATGACACAGTTGAAGAAACACTGTACATGTTTTTGATGTTTTTTGCACACACAGAACGACGCACACACACAACACACAGAAAATGAACAACATTCACATGGCTTCTACATAAAAAACAGATGAGAAGGGTAAGAACAGTCAGAACAGTGTGTGTGGCTATAATATAAATTCCTCACATTGTTACAAGGACAGGAAGAGGACTTACTGCCACCTATCCTCCACCTGTACTCCAATTGATTGGAATTTGGTCAGTGGTGGCGTCTCCTCTCGTGGTACTTCCTGAATACAGTCGACCTGGGAGGAAACAAAAAATAAACTGTGACATGAGAAACCCTACAACAGAAACTGAGAATCTGACACGACTATTACATGTCACAGACATTTCAATATCCGTTGAATGTCTGTCCAATTTCAAGAATTTGGAGACATTTTAGGGGAAAGGAATTTGGTGTCCTACATTATTTCTGTTCAGACTAGACTCTCTGAAAATGTTCATTTTAGGGTCGAAGCACATTTTAACTGCAAAAATTAAATCAACTCATCCTTGAATCCAAATAAGTGACTCGACCAAGGTTTATAAATACATTCTTCTGACGCATTTCTGACAGGGACAGGGATGAGATGAATGTCCTGAGAATAGTTTTCCACAATAAATTTTAAAGCCTTCACAACCAATCCAGCATCTAGAAACTAAAAAATTTTGTTAAAGAACCCTTTTGCGTGTTAAAGTGGAATTAATTTAATCATTAAATACAAATCAAACAAACAGCAAGATCAATTAGTTAAAACAATACGGTGTTAATATTTGAATGGGTGACGTTGTACTGGAAAAATTGGACCCTGAGGTCAAAGTGTTACAATTTCTGCATTAGGAGACAGGATGTAACCACTGTTCCATTACCTACCTGTATACCAATGGACGAGAGTTTCCGTCTGGGCACAGGTGCCACTAAAGGCTCCTCTACCACTAGATTCCCTTTGTTAGATCCTGGTTTCGTGGAGTCGTGCTGGACGACCGAGTCGTTTGTCTCTGTGGAAGCACTGACAGTAGATGGACCGATGGGATCTCTGGTGGTGGCGAAAGGAGTGGGGAAGATGTGTGATGGGCGTGGAAAACCCCTGGCCAGGCTATTGGCACGGGTGCTATCAAGGCTATCAGAGGAGTTGCTCTGAGCGTGACTGGACTGGCTGTTGACCTCCGACCTTCGGTCCTGCTGATCCAGGTAGGTGTCCTGGGCAGATTCCGTGCTACTCTGGACAGTCACTGAGATGTAGGGCTTGGGTGTTGAACGAGGTGGCACTGGAGGAGGAGCAGTCTTCTTACAGGTAGAGATGTATGTAGAGACTGTGAAAACAGAAAAAAATGAAATATAAAGAAACACAGTTGGCACAGACACAGAGACGTCTGGGGAAATTAAAAGTGTTGCTGAGTCAGTGTTGCTGTGTTCCCGTGTAATGGCTGGCGTTCCTGACATTACTGTCATGAGAATGAGAAGTTGTCCTCGGCTGTAACAGGTTTAACTGCTGTTTGTTGACCATTTGGAGCTGCAGTATGGCAGTGTTTGCACCATGGCTTTGCTTAGCTTAGCCTCATGCAACACTGGATTGACTTTTCTATTTTAAAGTGTGTGCAGTACAGCTTTACTATGAAACTAGAAAAACATGGCATTAGGTATGGAATTTGGATAAGTAGATACTAAACAGTTAAAAGATGGGACTGGGCTGAGGTGCCAAAAAAGCTGATGTGAACCAGAGCATGTGAGATGAGCAGGAGATACTGAGCAAGACAAAGAAACTGTCTGTCTGTCTGTCTGTCTATCTGTCTATCTATCTATCTATCTATCTATCTATCTATCTATCTATCTATCTATCTATCACCAAGTAAATGAATTATGAAGGTCATGTTTAATAGAATTTGCAGTAATGTTTTAAGCATGTTAAGATGAACAAGATGAAAAGCCCCAGTTTAGATTCAGAATTTTAATTTTTTGTCTATACTAAAACAAATTATAATTTACCCTCAGTATCAGAAGTCTGTGTCTTTTAGTTGTGTGCTAAAAACGGCATGTATTCTCTTTCAGTGGACACACGATACTAAGCCTCTAACTGATGACCACTGTACAATGTTCAATCTCTTTACCATAAGAAAAATAAGCCTGAACTTGTAGGTGATTGACAGGCCCATGGAATCTATGCAGCATGTGTCCAGCATACCAACAGATTTCACAGTACAAAATGTAAATGTTAACACTGCCATCTTCATGGCTGACAGCCAGTACAGTTACTTATTTACTTATCTCGTCCATTACCTTGGTAAATCCATGGACACTAACTCTCACAGACTGAACTGCATCGGTGAGAACAGACATAAATGGAATGTCTGTGGAGAGGAATTTTGCACAGTGTCGCCACCAGGACATGAGAAGAGGATCAATTTAATCAGCCACACATACAGAACCCACTCTGTTAAAAGATTTGAAGTCGTGCACAAAAGACAAGAGTGCACAGAGCACACACTCACACAGAAAAGCAAACCAAAAAAGCCATGAGAAATTTATACGTGAAGTATAAACACATCTTCCAAGAGCTAATACTTCTCTGAAGTCTGGTGGAAAATTCAAAGTGCAGAGGCCACAGTAATCCAAGTGTAACACCGGACCAGACCAACATACTGTATAATCTAAACAGGGACTTTAACTGTATTATTTTGAAACTTGTGGTAACTGCACAATCTTTAGACAAGATGTTTTATTTCACGCCACATTGGAATAAACAGTGAAGACCTTGTGGAATCTGAACAAACGTTCTACTTAGAAACAGTGTGAAAAAATAAATTCAGCAGAGAAAATCAATTGGATTGGTGTTTGAAAAGCTGTCCGAAGGCTAACAGAGTAGGTCTTGCAGCTACAGCCTTGATTTTGTAACAAAAATAAAAAGTCTGCTTTTTTAAAACATTTTTTCTATAAAACACCTTTAAACTGATGCAGACCCTTTTAGACCTTGCAAAATAATAACAGTGAGCTATAATTACATTTACGTCTCTTTCACATTGAATGGTTCATATTATATTTCAGTTATATAATTCTTAAGAAAATCATGAATAACATCAGATGATGTTTAAAACGCAGAATTATCAAGTAATAATGTGCCATCGTTCTCAAATACTGTTGGTTGGGCTGAAGAGAATAATACTAAGACTTGGCTGTTATACTGAGGTCTCAGAGGGCACAGGCCTGCATGAACACAATGCATAACCAAGAAGTCATTCAGGATTTGGAAAAAGACCTGGACTAAACATGTGCTTAGAAAAACGCCACACAAAGGGTTCGTTGTTAACGCTAATCCACTTCCCCGCTATATTTTATCCAAGTGCAACACAAAACTCATATGATCTACTAAATAATTTTCCGACTTAACAGTGAGACGTCTTACGCAGCCAGTCAGTCAATCTGGACTTCAGTGGCCCCTCCATGTATTATTGTACAAGGTAACAACTACAAACTCCAGACGTATCGATACAGCTAAAAGGGAAGAGTTCTAAAACTTAAATCTAACAAATCTAAATCTAGCTACAACAAAAGAATTAAAGTTTTTTTATCGACAAAAATACTTTTCTTCATTAAACATGTTTTAACATTAATAAATCTATACCCATCAAATGGTCTGTACTTTAACAGCACTTTTCTAGTTTACTTTCTTGTTGACTGCCAGGAGGCTGCTGTACAACGCACAAAGTCTGGAATCTATCCGGAAACAACTACATTATCTACGCTATTACAGCGACACGTAAATACAGTGAATGTGCCAGAACCTGGCATTGAACCAGGGACCTTCATAACATTGTATATAGATTGCCAATCTCTGGACGTTGGCTTAGGCTGACAATAAATTACATTCAGAAGGATAAGAATTTAAACCATTAAAATGTCCTGCTAAAGTGTGCTAGCCAACTCTCTGGACTTCAAACACTGTACCATCAGTTATTATAAAAAAAAACCCCACATGTCTTTACTTTATAAACAGTTTAAATAGAAGTAAAATAATTCCTAAACACTGCTCTGTTCTTTGGACAATAATAGTGTGACTGCTGCACCTCTAACAATTGCATATAAATGGTCTCTCAATATTTTTTAATCTCTTTGATCTTTAATGTGATGTATCTTTGTGACAGGTAAATAAAATGCTTCTCTAGGTGTATGAATGTGCTATTAAAATGAGTCTTGAGCTGTTTTAAGGACACAGTGCTGGGAAATAAGCTGTAAATGAAATGTGCAGCGTGATGGTCTATTTAACTTGTCTGGATTGTTTGCCACGTTGCTTGTTGTCAGACTAATCCAATAACAGCCACAGGACAATGAAAATGTGGGCTGAATCCCAGTTGCCAAAACAACCATCACAATGAACTGGCTCAATAACACGAGTTCATCAAAAGAAATCTATTTTCTTTGCTCTGGTTTACATCAACATCAAACTTTTCACAGATGCCTGTATGATGATCTATGGAGGGTTTTATGTTCTGTAGGATTTGTGTGAAATGGCCAAAAAGAAAGGTCTAACTAAATGCAAAAATTATTGGTGCAGAAAAGAAAAAACACGGCGATAGTCGTGGGGAATAACATTTTTAATTTTTTTCTTCTGTGCAGCATAACGTCCACGATATTCCATCCATGTCAACACAGACAGCAAACGGCGCATCAACCGGAAACGGAACTTACTGTAAAAATAAGTGTTTCCTTACAAACTAAAACCCCAGAGACACCGCCATAATTAATAATAAACTTTGAAAGACTATGACCTAAAGTTAGAGAATATGATACGTCTTATAATCATATGATTTATAGTTTAATTAATCACAGAATTAGTCGAGAACTTTCTATGAAGAACAGATATACAGAAATACTCTATACTATAGAATAGCAGGGCATTAAAC